ACTGTCAAAAAAGTTATATCAGCTGAATAATGTAGATACAAGCGTAATGGTTTGGTAAAACAATCTTTCAGTATCACAACCACCACACATCAAAAATTACATTTAATATGTTACTACACTAAAGCCGACGTTATTCAAGAAAAATTACCAATACCAATTCACGACGAAAAATTAAAAAGTATTGTCATACCAAAAGGAATGTATCCGGAAACTACAAATATTTTGGACAGCAACAACCTCAATAATAATAACGGCATCATGATAAATTCTGGAAACGTTGGCAACAATAATTCTAATAATTCTCCTCTTCATAATCATCATCATCATCAACAACATCACAATCATCATCATCATCATCATGTTTCACATTATCCTGGTAACAACGCCACTCCAACTACTCCAACCACTCCTCATCATCATTTACTACTTCATCATAATCATCACAACAACAACAACAACAACAACAACAACAACAATTCAAATAATAGTGAAAATAACGAGAACAGATCTCCAAGTCCTTATGCTTGGCAATATCAACAATTACATTCATCATCAAATAATACTCCTAACACCGCTTCTTCATATTCAAATCATCACAATAATCACTTTCATCGTCCTTCAGTCGAACCAATGCAAATAGATTCTCATTCTGCTTGCTCCACTCCTTCTATATCATCATCCCCCTCAACCACCTCAGACGATTTTCCAAACTTTGCCACGATCGGCAATAATAACAACAATGGTAACAACGTTAGTGGTGGTAATGGCATAAATGGTGTTAGGTTTAACTTTTTCAATCATTCTGGAAGTAGCACTGCATCTTTACCATTATTATATCCATCATCAAACTACGCACAATCATCTGATAATAATGGTTATGGTAATGGATCAGAACCGATTAATATTCCAAATGCTTCATCAAGATCAAATTTCCCTAATCATTTACCTTTTCCAGCTTCATATCCACCACGATCTAGTGTTTTAAATAGTAACAACAACGGTCACAATGGTAATAGTGATAATAGCAATCTTCTTGATCAACAACAACAAAGTCATCTACCACCTCAAGATATCCCTTGGGAAAAAATTAGAAACAGTGAAGATCAGCGTCAGTTAAATGC